AAGCTGATTCAAAAATAATTTGAAACATTTTACAGCGTTTTGAAACACCACATAACCATTTTTGGTTTCATTTTTGTTCTCAGGCCCGTGTAACAATGCTTACTATACATGACATTTCAATGAATATATACATATTTTACATTGTTGGGTATATCATTAATGATTCTCTTATCTCTAATGTAAATATATTCTTTTGCAATTATTAAACTTTAACAATTATAATCAAGTTTTTAGCTTGTCCCTTAATTTACTGTCCACTTTGTTATTTTTGAAGTTGGGAAAATGAAATTACTTCATTTCATAAATCAGTTATCACTTCTTTAGAAGGAAAACAAATTGAGTGCAGTGGGTGAGTTCCTTAACTATTTTAACAGTCTATTTTTTAATCAATTTTATCTTTTAAATTTGATGCGGTCAACCTTAGTATGTCCACACTGTTTGGGAAATGTGAAATAAGTTATTAGGAAAATCATTATTTTTAAAATTACAGTTTTAAAAACCATGCAATTCTTCATTTGATAAATCTTCTATGTTAGCTCGTTTTTGCTCAGACACGCTGCATAGCCTGATTTTAGATCAGAATGTCCACCCCGTTAGCTAACAGAGTGGACACTGAGATTGTGCAAAGTGATTGTGAAAGTAATGTATGTTTACTTTAAAGTTGAAGAAGTGGTACATTTAAAGTTCGTTGGTAATGTTTTACATTACATTACATTTACATTTAAATTTATCAATATGAATCAAAGAATATCAATAATGTAGTACTTTTAGAAGTAAACAAACATGCCTAACAGGGTGGACATTTTTGATCTTCCATTTCAATTATTTTGTTTACTAAAGGGTTACATATTTACCCGAGCCTGACCAGAATTTTTGTTTAATTTATGTCATTCATATTACATCACTATTTTATAATACAAACTGTATTTAATTATTATTATTACATGTTATGTCTAAATGCCATGCTTTGTATAAAATGATCACTAATGAAACGCTACATATTAATTCAGCAAGCGTACAGTGAACACTTCTAATAATAGCGCTGGGATGTAGACGAGGAAACGAGAAGAAAGGTAAGGAAATGCCTGAGAGCTCCGCTGGGAACGACCCGAACCATTCAGAACCGAGGTAATTAGGGAGATGAGAGTGTGAGGGAGTCCTGAACATCAAACAAACTACATACAAACTATACGGCTTATTTTCTACAAACCCAACGGGATTTGTTAGCATATATCTTATCCTGTGTATTTAGTTTATTTGAAACAGAAACAGCAGAACATCCTTATAAATAATAGCAACATGAAAATAGTATTTTCATATCCAACTTACCTCGGTGAAAAAGTTATCCATTGTCTTTATAATAAATCTCTGAGGTCTTCATAGGAGTCAACGAGCCGAGCCATAAGTGTCAGTGAAAAGTGTCATGCGGTCTCTCGCTGCATCTCACTGATCTCTAGACCCCTGGAGCCAGTTTGTTTCTCTCTCGCGCAGAGACACGTCTTTGTTTCAGACCATACAGATGTTGGAAACTATCATGTGTCCCACACTGCCAGTCGCGAGAGCAGGAAAGAGTTTTCTCTTCCACGAGCGCAGTGACACCGGGGCTCACGAGGCGCGCTTCGGGATGGGATATAAAGACACGGCGCGAGGTCACTTTGTACGCCGGTGTGACACGCGCCTCGGTAAACAGCGAAGGCTTCAGCTCCTGCCAAGTTTGCTGAGACTCCGCTGAGTCGGCTCTATGCCTGTTGGCTCCGCCCCCGCGCAGTTTGAATGGCAAAACTTCTGTAGATCCGCAGCCTCGCGCGCACCTCCTGCTGTTCCCGTGGTGAGGGCGCGCGGGATAATCCACACAAACTATTTGTGTTGATTCACTGTGACTGTTAAACTAATAAAAGCTCAGATGTGTAACAGGAAGCTCAGTTCAAAATTCAAGATTGATAAACGCACATATAAAATTAAATAATACTTAATGCATCCTATAAAAAAAATATAAAGCGTCAACGCACCTGTTCAATATATCAATCTATTTATCTATTACAGGTGTAACTTTTAAATGACAAAGTTCGTTTTTTATCACGGTTTTTAGGGTCACGGTTTCATGGTTCGGTGTGCAATGTTCAGGGGAAACGGGATTACTGTCAAATAAAAATAAATAAAATAAGAAATAGCCTAATCAAACTAGCAACATCACAAATAAATAAAACAAAGATACAAAAAACAGTGCTTTGCAGGGTATGTAGGTATCTAACAGTAGTTTTCTAGTACAGAAATTTAATAAAGTGCTCAAATGTGAAATAAGACTGCATATAATCTTCACTATATTATAAATCAAATAAAGATGAATTATCATCAAAGTTACAAAAGCTAAGTAGCCAAGAGCAGTAAGTGATTTCTTATCTTTTGTTGTTTGATTAAGGCTACCAACGTTACACGTTACTGCATGTAATGCGATCAATTTTTGTCCGGTTTAACGCTAAAATATTTAGTGCAATAAATGGCATCTGTTAATTTTTGTCATTACTTGGGTAGAGATTTCCTGAACATGATCCTGCTCTTATTCATGCAAATGCTTTTAAACCATTCAGGCGTGACAAGACAAAAGAGAATGCGTTGCCTGTGAATGTCCCGACACATGACATATGGAAAGACAGGCGGCAGAATACAGTTCCCTTTCGAGAATGGTCACTTCGTGGAAAACTCGTTTCCCAAGAAAATTCTGAAGCTTAAAATGTAAAACCCATTTGGTGCTGCACAGCTAGCACATTGAGTGACAACTCACTCATTGGCTATGCTGCGGCAACTGCACATCCAATGGAGCGGGCGGCTCCAACGTGTGCACCAATGAGCTATCATTACGTCATACAAATCAGAGTCCACCACAAGGGGCGTGGCCAGAGCCCATTAAAGCCCCTGAAATAGACAGATTCATCTCCTTCAGCAACATACTTCACGTCTGAGTCCTTCGCCGTTGAATCACAGGCCCTACGGTTAAAGTGTGCATCTCTGCAGCGGATCTCGCCTTCGACTGAGAAGCCGTCTTCCCCTGTCACCTCTCTGCTGTCGCTATCCAGCGATCAATGCATCTACGATTATCCTTTTTGCTCTTGCTTTTAGGAACGCGAGCATTTGTCAAAATGCCTTGCTCATCATGGGCCACGTGAGGCTCTCTTCTGCACGAGGCGGAAGGACATGCCAAGTGCGCCATGTACCTGGGCCTCACCCATGCTCAAGCTGCGCTCTCTACCTGCGAATGCTCGGTCTGCGAAGGCAAGACGTTCCCACGCCAGCCATGTTGGCCTGCTCCTTTCTTTCCCGAGGTCCATCAGGAACTGTCGAAGACCTGGCGCGCGCCCTACTCTGCACGCACGGGTTCTTCTGTCTCCGCAACACTCTCCTCTGTGGATGGCACGGCGGAGAAGGGCTATGAGTCTTTGCCGCCCCTCGAAGAGGCTGTGGCTGCTCACCTCTGCCCAAACACCGCAGCTAGCTGGAGAACCAAAGCGGTGCATCCAATCAAGCCCTGCCGTCATGTCAGCTCTCGCTGGACGCGCCTTCGCCGCCTTCGTTCAAGCTACTTCGGCCCTGCACACTATGGCGGTGCTGCAGGTCTACCAGGCCAAACTTCTCCAGTCCATGGACGAGTCTGGCCCGGAGCCTGAGTCCTTCCGGGACTTAAGGAACGCCACGGACATTGCTTTGCTGGCTACCAAAGCTACAGCGCAGGCCATTGGGAGAAGCATGGTGAACATGGTCGTGCTCGAGCGCCATCTGTGGCTCACGCTCACGGAGATTAAAGACACGGATCGGATGGTGTTCCTCGATGCCCCTGTCTCCAGTTCCGGCCGTGAAATTGTTTCTGTATATTGTTTTGGATATGTAAGACAGGTAGGAAGGGCAAAGGTAAATAGGACATTTATAATAGGTTTATGTGAGGATTGTTTTTGAAGCATAATAAATGTTAGCACTACTAAGAACATAAACAACAGGAATATAAGGCTGCTGTCACTTTAAGACATAATGCACTGATCCAGCACACGGATACTGCACACATGCGTTGTCTTTCTCGACAACTATACTTGCTAAGAAGGGTCATATTGACGTACCGGTATTCTTTTGTGTTAATTTGTCCGTTCAAGCACAAGACTTGAAAGAGAACTCAATATTTGTGTGCTGTCTGAGATGCTGGATTTATGTGTGCGCGCTTCGGGTGAGTGCACACACAAATCTTCTTACAGCGCGCCCGGGTTCTCATTAGTGTATTCTCAGCTTTAATGTTTAAATTGGCACGGTTAAAATGAGTTCAGTAAACACAGATTAGCAACATGTGCTGTTCAGGTCTCATCTTGCGCCATCAACACCCGGGTGATGACGGTGTAAATGAAAGGTCATAATAGGGCACTCCTTTTAAACACAGTTAGAGGAAGCCAGAATGGATATCCATCAACAAGAAACTGTCTGTCTGTATTACGCATTGTTATTTTTAACAAACCATTTTATAGATGCGTATGTTATGCCGTCAGATTTGAGATGAACCGCAGTGCAAGTGCGTACCAAACCATATGGGTGGAGACTAGTTTGGTTAAATTTTTTATAGAGAAGAACCGTTACACTCTATGTATCTATCATTCTTTCAATCTATGTATCTATCTATGTATCTATCTATCTACAGTATCTATCTATCTATCTATCTATCTATCTATCTATCTATCTATCTATCTATCTATCTATCTATCTATCTATCTATCTATCTATCTATCTATCTATCTATCTATCTATCTATGTATCTATCTATCTACAGTATCTATCTATCTACAGTATCTATCTATCTATCTATCTATCTATCTATCTATCTATCTATCTATCTATCTATCTATCTATCTATCATGTTAACTGTTGTAATGAGTTTCTGTGTAAGACTGCCGTCTAGAGGTCATCTTTATTACATGACTGGCACATTTGCACACGTTTTAAAACCAGGAAATGTTTCAGTTCAGAGAAATCGAAACCTAAGCTCAAGCTGCTGTCGAACCATTGTAGAGGTCTCTCTATCTGTGCAATAAAATGGCAGAATCCAGGGTTTCCTTGACTCAAGATCAGTTCAGCTGTTCAATTTGTCTGGATCTACTGAAGGAACCAGTAACCATTCACTGTGGACACAGTTACTGTATGAACTGTATCACGGGCTGCTGGGATCAGGACGATCAGAAGGGAGTCTACAGCTGCCCTCAGTGCAGACAGACCTTCACTACAAGACCTGTTTTAGGGAAAAACACCATGCTGGCTGAAGTGGTGGAGAAACTCAAGAAGACAAAACTACAAGCTCGTCCTGCTCAGTGTTACACTGAATCTGGAGATGTGGAGTGTGACGTCTGTACTGGAGACAAAAACAAAGCCATCAAGTCCTGTCTGGTGTGTCTGAACTCTTACTGTCAAAATCATCTGGAACAACATGAGATTTTCTTCAAAAGTAAGAGACACAATCTAATGGACGCCACTGGACGACTTCAGGAGATGATCTGCCCTCAACATGACAAACTGCTGGAGATTTTTTGTCGTGCAGATCAACACTGTATATGTTACTTGTGTACAATGGATGAACACAAAAACCACGACACTGTTTCAGCTGCAGCAGAGAGGACTGACAAACAGGTATGAACTATGAGTAGTTATGTTGAATAACAAATGATTCTTCATAATTATATAACATATTGGCTATATATTCGAAGATCATTTTCAAACAGTTCTTAAGCGAAAGAGATTATATAATTTCTACTGTTTGCTCATGTTTGAAACAGTATAGTGACTGTATACTAAATCTAATAGAGACAGTTGGAGGAAACCCAGAGAAAATTCCAGCAGAGAATCGAGGAGAAACTGAAGGAGCTTGAGAAGCTGAGAGAGGCTGTAGAGACTCACAAGGTGAGTTTAGAGCAGAAGAACTGCTGGAAGAGCTGTTTCACACTCAGTTAGGACTCTCCTCCAGTCAGTCTACTGTGAGGAGTCAGTGCTGGAGCTCTTTCAGTCCCCCTGAAGCCCACTGTGGGGAACAGGCTGTGTGAGGGACCAGTAAGAGCTGAGTGAATGGACTGGTTCTAATGCGTGTGTGTGTGTGTGTGTGTGTGTGTGTGTGTGTGTGTGTGTGTGTGTGTGTGTGTGTGTGTGTGTGTGTGTGTGTGTGTGTGTGTGTGTGTGTGTGTGTGTGTGTGTGTCCTAACAGCGCTCTGCACAGGCAGCAGTGGAGGAGAGTGAGAGCATCTTTACTGAGCTGATCCGCTCCATTGAGAGAAGCCGTTCTGAGGTGACACAGCTGATCAGAGAACAGGAAAAGACTGCAGTGAGACGAGCTGAAGAACGACTGGAGCAACTGGAGAAGGAGATCAAGGATATGAGGAGGAGAGACGCTGAGATGGAGCAGCTTTCACACACAGATGATCACATTCAATTCATCCAGGTAACAGAAATCTGATAAACAAATTGATTTTGAAATAGATTTCTCTGTGTCTTTAGCTGGTGTTTTTATTGTGTCTTTGTGTCTGTGTAGAGTTTCCAGTCTCTCTCAGTCTCTCCTGGATCTACAGACTCACCCAGCATCACAGTCTGTTCACGTCTCACTTTTGATGATGTTGGTAAATCTGTGTCTCATCTGAGAGAGAAACTGGAGCGTTTCTGCAGAGAGGAAACAGAAAAGATATCTGGCAGAGGCAAGCCTTGCATTTACTGACATGTATCACATGATGTCATGTAAAAAAAAACAATGCATGTTTAAAATATTCGATAATTAAACTTACTTTATATTATTTTACAATATTTACAATAAATTGTCTGTTGGTTTTCATAGTGAGAAACATTAACATCATTCCCACCCCTGAACCCAAGACCCATGAGGAGTTTCTCCAATGTAAGTGTCTATGATCATACATGTACATGAAGAGACAAACTTTAGTTTATTATTTTTATACTTGCAGTTACTTTTTATACTTTTTTTAGTTTATGAAAGTACACATTGAATTGTACTCTCAGTAAGCAACTAGTTTAGAAGTTTTAAACTGCAAGTATACTTGTAAGTTTTCTTTAAGTGAACATAACATCATACTTTACTATTTATATTATTTTTGCACTTTAAGTACTACTGTTCCTATTTAGGTATTTTTATTCTTGAAATATACCTTTAACTGCACTTTAACTAAGTTTAAAAACATTTTATTATATATTTATGCATTTTTTTGAATGTGGGTAAGTATATTAAAGAAAATCAACACTTTAAACAAAGAGCTGAGAAAATTGCATTTTTGTCAAAGACTTTTTACGGATGGGATTATCTGTTTACATTATAAATCAATATTTTCAAACAATGTAAGTTTATAAGACTATATAAAACTATGTGTAACTGTAAAATGTATTTAATAGGCTATTTAATCAAAAGATTAAACACAACTACAAGCCAAGTATACTTAGAATACTTAATTATACTTTTAAGTATATCTCGATCAAAAGATATGGGCAGTCCAAATATACTTAGACCTTTCTGTCAGTATAATTGAGTACAGTTGTAAATATATTTAAGTATATTATATATAAGTATATTTTTGAGAAGTATATAAAAAGTAGACAAAAGTATGCTTTCTTATTTTTAGTTTTTTTTTAAAAAGTATAATAATTACACACTAATTAAATAAACTTGTTTTTCGCAAGGGTAGTTTCTCTTACTGGGTTAGTTAAACGTCCTGGTCTGGACACTGCTAGTTTTTGTTTTGACAGAGAAACATTTAAATGGACCTTTAGCTGAAAACTGTACTGTTTGTGATAGAGCTGCTGTCTTTAAAACATTTGAACAGGACTAAAAACTAAACAGAAATTTGAATTGACTTTTCGATTCTACATTTTTAACCAACTATAATTTCTTCTGGTCAACTCCAAACACAGACAGACACACCAACACAACGATGGTATGATGTTGATAACAATGAGGCTGATGTTGTGTAGCTTTTTCCATAAAGTATCTAACATCACTGACTTTTTTCTGTGTAGGCCTATATACTATCCTAAATGTAATAAAGGTCTGTTGTTTTATTTTTATGATTTTTTTTTTTTTTACCTTAAACAGATTCCCGTCCGCTCTCTTTGGATTCAATTTCAAACGCAGGGAACACAAGCCTGGCACTGCCTGAAAGGAGCAGAAATGTTAACTCTGTAAGACTCGATAATAGAAAAAGAATGACAAAAAAAAAATATTCAATTTTGGCTTATGGATCAATGAAAATAGTTGTAAGAATTAGGATTAATTTACATTTAAATTTTTTATACTTGAACATACTCTATGTGATCCATTCCACTGAAGTCTAGGGCTGGGACAGTTACCGCAGCATTACCACAATGCCGCGGTCTGAGCTCACCACCGTCATCACCACAAAAACATTGGCCTGCCCATGTGTGCACGTTGTGTCTAACGACATGGACTCATTGATTCGGGAACACTTTACAATAAGGTTCATTAGTTAACATTAGTTAACTACATTAGTTAACATGTACAAAGAATGAATAATACTTCTTCAGAATTTATTAATCTTAGTTAATATTAATTCCAACATTTACTAATACGTTATTAAAATCCAAGGTTGTATTAGTTAACATTAGTTAATGCACTGTGAACTAACATGAACAGCTGTATTTATATTAACTAACATTAACAAAGATTAATAAACACTGTAACTAGTTAATGCTAATGTTAACTAATGAACCTTATTGTAAAGTGTTACCATTGATTCTAATGACATGGATTATGTCTAATGACTGGCGTGTCTTACATGGATTCAAGGTTTTCTAAAAAAAATAATCAAAAGATGGAGCAAATATGACCTTTTGTGAGTTGAGGAAGCGCAATGTTTCATAATACATAATAACAATCAGTGTAAAAGCATTACTAATAGAAAAATATATATTGCATCTACACTGAAAAAAAAGTCTGTTGGATTTACATGATTTGATAGTGTACATCGGTCCAACATGAACCAATTAAGTTACACAAACATAATTTATTCATGTATCTTCAATTTCATGGAATTAAGTCATTTTAAGTTATCCAATTAAGTAGTCTCAACGTGATTTTAAAAGGCTCCCTGATTGGCTGTTTCAGGTATTTAAATTCATATATTCATTTATCCAATTAAGATTGGATGTATTTGTCACACTTCTCAATATCTAGTCTATAGCCTGTAGTTAGCTACCAATAGTACTTGGTGGCATAATGACTGCTAAGGTATACAAACACCATCAGCAAATAGCAATTGCTATAAACATAGTTGAATCGGTCCACAGCCTAACCAAATCATCCACTCTTCTCCACAATGGTAACCAACTGTAATTTAAATGGTTCTAATAATTCCAATGTAATTGAACATTAAACACAATTACACACTAACATTTTCTTATTTTCTCAAAAACATATAAAATAACACTTCATTTCAACATTTATTCTCTCGTAATTCAGACATATGCAAAGCATGCTGGGAATTAACATGCACCGCCCAATTTCAGTTAATGCAACACAAATCATTCATGTTATCCAACACAAACGGATTAAGTAAACTAAAATTGTACATATATTTAAGCAGATTGGACACAATCAAATTAAGTTTGGACAAAATGTAAAGCAATTATGTTGCTTAAGCTAATTTTAATTAAGCGATTTGAACAAGCAGCAAAAATCATTTTTTTCAGTGTATTTAGTAGGAAAATGTGTTATTTGATTTATGATTTTGCATAGGTGCTGCAAAGTAGATGTGTGTTGTAAGTGTACCTCTTTGGAATTGTAATTTGATTTATGTTGATAAGGGGCAGATATTATAAGTTTATCTTCTTTCTGCTCCTTTTCATTTTTTTTTTAAAGAATTAAATATATATATATATATATATATATATATATATATATATATATATATATATATATTTATAAAACGGTTAGTTCCAATCCTTGATTCTGATTGGTCAAGAGCTGTGCTTTATTCACGATAAAACACGGCAATGACCGCTTCACCCAACGGTTCTAGTTATCACTGCGCCCTTAGCAACACCCTTAGCAACCACACATATCAACCCAATGTGCAGTGAAATGCTTCGGTGACTGGTGTAGTGAAAACGGTTGCAGCATATTTTAAACAAATCACCAAGACGGAACTCAACGCACTTATCCGTGACTTCTACGGAACTGTCACGCCGGTTTCACACTGCACGCGTTAGCAGAGCGTTAATTTGGCCATGATCAATGCAATGTTGCTTTAATTCAGCGTAAGCCGCGCGGCAAAAATAGAAAGAACGCCGAAACGATCGCGGCACTGCTGCTCCTGCTCTGCTCCTGCTACGCGATGCCGCGCCGCCTCTGCGTGCGGTGTGAATGCTCTAATCTGTTAACATGGGCGCCGAAAAAAAATACGCGCTGCTGACGCTCTGCTAACGCGTGCGGTGTGAAACCGGCGTCAGAAGCTCCACAGGAGAAAAATATGGGATCAGTAGCTATGTAGCGTTACGCGCGGGTCTGAACAGATTCCTGAATGATCCACCTTTGAGTTTGTCAAGGCATTTCACTGCCCATTGGGTTTGCTGCACGGTATTTTTTTCATTACGAGTCTTCTCGAATGTAGGCTATTACATTTTAGCACTTCAGCATGACAGTTCGTATTTGTAGAAGTCTCTCCAAATTGTTCCTCAAACCACTTATCCATCGTCATGCCACCTATAAATCGAAATTTACTTTAAACATTTTAGCCTTTTTAAATTATGTCTGTGAGTGGACATAAGTGTAAAAGTAAAGAGCTACTGGAGGCCAAACTTAAAACAAAGAAAGCACTGGAGTGACTTGCTGCAACATAAAACACCGCTGACAGCGCTGAGCCCCAACTAAAGAGGAGGTTAAATATCACCACAGCGGAGCCGATTGAAATTAGTCAAATATTTAATGCGTGCACAATAAACGGAGATGTTCAAATACATTTAGGCTAAATAAACAACAATAAATAAATAAAGTATCTCTTGTTGCAGCATTTAAGCAACTAAATTAATAACTAGATTAAAGACCTAACTGTTATCTATCAAAATATGTGCCCTTGTGTTTTTTATTATTATTTTATTTGTTAGTTTGCTGAGAGATAAGCTATGCCTATTTGTGTGAGGAAATTTCACAAATTTTGTGTTGTAAAAAAATAAAAAGAATGAGACAAAGTTTGAGAATGGTTTTGTTGTTTTTATTTGAGCTTTCCTGCATATTACACATTGGAACGTTGTTGTTCACAGCCAGGGACTATATTTTTCTAGCGGAAGGAATGTTTTTATTGATTAAACTACATTAAAAAGTTGCACTAATACATTGTTTTTTATTGTAATATTGTGTGGCAACCGTTTTATAAAAGCAATAAGGTACTCGAGGCAAGTGCTGTATCGTGAATAAGCAACGGCTGAAGGGGTTGCAGGCACTCCGCTTCGCGTCGTGCCTAACAACGCCCTTCAGCCGTTACTTATTCACGATACAGCACAGCCTCTCGTACCTTATTGCTTACATATATATATATGAACATTCCATTCACATTAGAGATGCGCGGATGGGCTATTATTTCATCCGCAACCACATCACAAAACTCTTCATCCGTCTGACATACATCCGCACAAACATTTTTTGACCAATTTTCAAAACGCGGTTTATCACTATACTGCAGGATTTTCTTGCTTTTCAACCATAGTTATAAAAAATCCATACCATCCCAGCCCTACTGAAGTCACACAATTCTGAAAGAGATATACAAACACCCAGACTTCTCACATCCCCACATTCCAGAACATTAACACCTGTCCCTGAACAATGGACCATGCAACCCCCCATGTCTGAACATCCACACCGATCCTTGAATAACCATCCTCCAAAAAGTACTCCACAAACAGTGTCTGCCTTGCAACAAGCAGATATTTGGGCAAACAAACAAAGCCCAGATAGAAAAAAAAAAACAGTTAAAGATATATACTGCTAAGCTAAAATACTTGTACTGAAAGGACTGCAACCAGAAATGATGTATTCATTTAAAATGATTCAAATCTGATCTAAACTGAAAATTGTAACAAATACACATTTAGAAATTGTGAATCATCAAATATATTGTATTTCTGTAAGTATTGCACATGCTATTTTTACTACCAATTACAACAAAGACATAAGCTAAAAATCTAATTTGATGCATGCATTCCATAATAATCAAGTATTTACATGAACTAGACATTCTAACAATGACAAAAAAATTGTTCTGGGGTTTTAATTACTTCAATTTTGAGATATTCAGTCCAATGAAAGGAGATCCGCCTCCAGTAAAGTTTGCAGGTTGTACGAGTTCATGACCTAATGGCATCTGTAAACACATTTACTATCTAATGGCATTGTGATGCTAAACAATAGGACCAACTGTCTATGTAAATGTGGTCTATTAAAAAAAAAACAACAACAACAAAAAAAAAAAAAAAACAGAAAAACAGAAAAACAAAAAATTGCAGATGTGTTTTTGGAAGAACTAAAAGTGATGTTGTCATTTTGCAACCACGGGTCTTACAGGGTTAAATTCACTGACAAAGTCCAGCAGTATCCTGATCATCCAGACAGATTTGATGGTCACCCTCAGGTGTTGTGTCGAGAGAGTGTGTGTGGACGCTGTTACTGGGAGGTTGAGTGGAGTGGAGTGGTGAGGTGGGTATATCAGTGTCCTATCAGAGCATCAGAAAGAAGGGACGGGGAAATAAATGTATATTTGGATGTAATGATCAGTCCTGGAGTTTGTCCTGCTCTGAATCCAGTTGCTCATTTTGGCATAAAAACAAACAGGCTAAACTCCCTGTAGTCTCCAGCTCCTTTAGAATAGGAGTGTATGTGGATCACTGTCCTTCTACAGCGTCTCTGACACAATGACCCTCATTAACACCACATTCACTCAACTCTATCCTGGGTTGAGAGCAAGTCCATCATGGACAGGACAGGGCTAAAAAATGACACTCTGTGACCTAACAATATAGAGATTATATTCAGAGATTCATCAAATAATATTATGAGAGATATTCTCAAGATATCATTTTCATGTTTTGATTTTGACAATGTTTCTTATGTCTACTCCATATAATATCAGCATAATATTAATCCTCCTTTTTATTCACAAGTTGCAGTTATGCTTGTTATATATGCCTGACGTTGTCTTTTAAAAAGAAATCAACTGTTTTCTTCACCTAACAGAACAAAATAATTCAAAGTGATTTTTATTTTCATTATTTAGCACTGACAGCTTTGTATCATCAAAGAGTGAATGTGCATGCAGTTCTAGCAGATCACATTCAATGAACCACTGAATAAATGCATTTAATAAACTAACTTATTCTCTCTGTTCATTCAATTTCCACAAATTCCTTCCATAAATGTTCTCTTATTGCCATTATTTAAAGAGATGGAGCCCACAACTCACTCACTTAATGGAATTAAAACCTAAATTAAAGATGATTTGTCACATTACTTTTATCACGAGAAGACAAGGATCTGCGGTGTCAGTTTAATTCTGAAAGCACTCCACAAAACTGCAGTCAGTTTCAGAT